TGAGCCACCATCCCAGCCCGCCTGAACTTTTTTGATCAACTTCCAACTTTCTGGTGGTTAACTGGAGATAACAGTTTCATGGAGACTGTCCTGCCTGAGCTGGTTTTGAATGGCAATTCCCAAATCTCAGCCTCCTGAGTTGCTAGGATTATAGATAGGTGTGAAGCACTGGTTCACCAGCTAGGGCTCTCATTTTTTACCAAGTACAACAATCTTTTTATTTCCTGTTTGCTTTAAGGACTTCAACATAAATAGAATCAGTTGACTAAGTAATGAACCTTCCTAGCAAACATACCTCTGTGTTGATAACAGGGGTAGAGGCAGGGGGGTGGAAGGCAACACCACAGCTACCAGAGATGGGTATTTTCCTGGAGCAGTCACCTATCTCATTGTCCTCTTACAGGCTCAGGCATACTAACCAGTTTGTTCCGGATATCCATGTTGCAGAGTGCTTCTGCCAGGATGGAGCAGGCTTCCTTCACTCCCCAGTGTGCAGCGGCATGGAGAGGAGTCCAGCCATCATGATCCTGAACATTGAGTTCATACCCAGCCTGAATTAAAAGTCTGAGAAGAAAACCCCCAAAGAATATATTTAGTGCCTTGATTTCATAGTTTCCTGTCAAATATGCTATTATCCAATTGTTATTTCACATATGGGTTGTGACTCACAAAGGTTACAGGTACCAGCCTTCTAAGACATAGCTCTGGATTCACACTACTTTCAGCACCAAAAGTAAGTTATCTATACCAATCTTCTCCAAAAGGTCACATGCTACACCATACAAAGAATGTGTATGAATAGGTATATACCTGAGATTAACCAAAGTCTAATTCAATTAGCCAAATCACATATCTCTATTACAAGATTTCCGTTTTCCAATGAAGGGAAGAATTCACATATAAACAAGTATTTGAATTTCTTTAGAGCACTTTATCAGCTAGCTTTCATGTGGGTCTTTCTGGAACGTTACATATTTATTGTAGAACCTCATACTTTCAACTTTGTAAAGTATCTTCAAGGTATTCTTTTCTTTAAATTTTATTTTATTTTGTTGTAAAGGTGATGTACACAGGGGTTACAGTTACATAAGTAAGGTAATGAGTACATTCCTTGTTGAACATTGTTATCCTCTCCCTTGTTTTTCTCCCACTATCCCTCCCCCAACTCCCTCCTCTGCAAAGCATTCTTGCTAACTATAAAGCTATAATTGAACTTGTATCCATGTTATGCAAAAAGAAAGATACAACTCTGGAAGCCCCACACTGCACTTCACTGGTTGGGGCCCACTACCATGGGCCCAAAGACATCTTTCAAGAACTGAGCAGAGGATAAATGTCACAGCTAGGCAGAAGTTGAATACCAATATACTAGAAATCCTCACACTTACTAGAAAGCCATTATTGGGTTGACTATAAGCACTAAGGAGTCCAGTAACAACTGTACATATAACACCATTAGCAAACCCTGTATTGGGGGAAGCCTGTCTTAAGAGGTATATAAAGCATTCATATGTGTAAGTAAAAATGGAACAGGCAAAGAATCCACATCTCTCATGTAACTTTGACTGTCCTGCTCTAGCTAGACATTGCACACTCAAGATCAATATAATTGATCCATGAGTCCAAAAAAAATCAAAAAGGACCAAAATTATCACTATTAGGCATTTATATAAAAGATTACAAATCAGGATACAATAAAGCCACTTCTACAACCATGTGTACTGCTACACTATTCACTACAGCCAATGTATGGAAACAGCCCAGATGTTCCTCAATGGACAAGTGGATCAAGAAAATGTGGTATATATACATAATGGAATTTTATTCATCCATTAGGAAAAATAATATTACACCATTTGCAAAGAAATGGATGGACCTAGAAAAATAATCTTAAGTGAACTAAATTAGGCCAAGAGAGACAAAGAACACATTTTCTCTCATATGTAGAAGCTAGAACTAATTTATAAATATACAAGTAAACATATATGGAATTGCATGCAAGTGTTCACAGATGTATTAATCAAAGTATGATATTTGCAGGGAAGAATTCAAAAGGTGTAATTCCTTAGAAAAGTGAACTCACAGTCAAACAAAATCAGTGCCAAGAAACTGGTACTTGAAAGGTGTGGGATGGAGGTGGGCACGGGGGTGGGGGGGGCGCAGACGAATGAAGAAAGGAAGGAGGTGTACAGTTATAATATTCAATGCATATGCCATAAAATTAAGAAAATTGAGGGGATGGATTGGGTTGGAAGGAATGGGGGAGAATGATGAAAGAATGACATCATTCAAGATGTACTGTACTCTATAAATTTATTTGTTGAATGATAACTCCTTTGTATAACTGGAGATTATAAAACTATAATTTCCAAAATTAAAAGGGATCAAAATGATCACAGATTTATCCTGTATAACAGGCCATAAGAGGAGGCTACAGAACATTGATGACAAATTCGTAGTTAGAAAATGTCTTAGAAAGTCCCTTCCTAGGCAAGTGTATCTCACCTCTGTTTCATATCATACATGTCAGAAAGAAGCTAGAGGGATGGTAAGAAGTAGGGGAGATCATCCATGAGGAAACACTAGCAAAAATGTGAGGAAAATCTGCATAATCATTGAAAATTTAATTCACCTCTACTTCCAACTCATCTTTTCCTGGTAAACAACTCTTATTTTATGTTACCTGAGGACTTCAGAGTAGCCTTTGGCAGCAGCCACATGCAGAGCTGTGGCCCCTGAGCGAGCCTGCTTCACATCCTCTATTTTCCCGCTGTTGAGCCACTGGCGGGCATCCTGCAACATCTGTTGCTCTTCTTCCTTCCTTGACTGCTCTAGATCAACTCCTACAGAAGCCAGATAGCAGACATCATTACTAAACCTTCACTAATTCTTACAGGGTATTTTAAATATCATAACTTTTACCACAAAGGTTAGTTCACTGTCTCAAATTGCATATTCATCCATTTAGAAAAGCAAAGAAATTTGTATACATACTAGTTTTCTAATATGTATACAGGGTTTAAATCACCAGGCTCAATATTATGGAATGCTGACCCATTAAGGGAACGCACTAACTACGTTTTGTTCATTATTTTCAATAAAACATAAAAATCAGAGGATTCATCATGTGTACCTTATAATATTTGTACAAAGCCATAAACTTCAAGGTACTTTCAGATGTTATATATTAGTTTCCAACAATCTTCAGAGGTAAATATAATGGTTACTATTATACCCACTTATCAGAAAAGAAAAGAAAAGAAAAAGAAAAGAAATACAGAAAAATTAAGTGCTTTGTCTTAAGGCTCCAAAACACATTACTGTCAGAGCTGCATTAAAACTCTGATATTTTGATCCTCTCTGCTTTTCTTTATTGTTCTCTACATTGTAATTGGTATCAAAAAATCTTGCTTTCAAGTATGACATACTTAACAACAATGAACTATCCCTAAAGCTTGTTTCCTGAAGCTATCTACAATAATCTAGAGATGAATGGGTGATCTATAGTTTAAAAAAAAAGTCTGCTTTCAAGGCAATACAGTTTATTTCTTGTAAAAACCATTATGGAGAAACTCAAAAGAATTATTCTCTTAAGCCAACAACTCTAATATCTAATGCAGAGGGGTTCACCACATTATATTCTTTATTACATAAAGTAGGTCACAGATACCAAAACACCCACTCAGAGTTTACACTCACTATTTATCTCCCTATCAGCTTCAGTAAAAATCAATGAATTAACCTGTTTTACTTGTATGATTCAGGGAGGTGGATGGGGTAAAAAGGAAACCTATTTAGAACATAACAGCCCTCCATACACTAAGGAGAGTTAATAGCACAGTGGAGGTAAATGTACATATAAAATGCTACTCCAATAGAGCACGTCCATAGGAGAGTATCTATCTGAGCGGAAAAGGTACAATTTCAAACCAAAAAAAAAATTTTTGGGGGGGTCCAGTCATGGGTCCTGAACTCTGGGCCTGGGCGCTATCCCTCAGCTCTTCAGCTCAAGGCTAGCATTCTACCACTTGAGTCACAGCGCCACTTCCGGCTTTTTTCTTTTTGCTTATGTGGTGCTGAGGAATTGAACCCAGGGAGCCACAGTGGTAGAGCGCTAGCGTTGAGCTGAAGAGCTGAGGGGCAGTGCCCAGGCCCAGAGTTCAGGTCCCACGACCGGACCCAAAAAAAAAAATTTCTTAAGAATTTTGTTTTAAGATAGTTATTTGCAGCTAGACACCAGTGACTCACACTTATATGAGGCAGTAGAAACAGCAGCTGTCTGTCAAGAGCATCTTCTGTTAAGGCCTTCTATAAAGGGCCAGATATTAGGTATTTCCAGGTTTGCTGGTTATTGGTTTATCAAAATTGCCTGAGTCTGTTGTGATAGAACAAATGTAGCTTTGGACTTTAAAAGCTTATCTGGAGGTTGTAGTACAGAAGTATAGCTACTATCATACCCTTAACTGAAAACTGGTTCTCCTCTATCAGGGAAGGTCACTTTCAGCTGAACTCACAGCCTGGGTTGGGACACTAACCTAACCAACCAGATCAACCAAATCAACCATGGCAATTGGTGGGTAGCAGATGTTGCAGCCAGATTACACCCATACCAACAACTCTGAATAATATATAAACATGGGCATAGATTTGGCCTGACCTAAAAGATTATATCAACAAAGATGATTGGAGCTAAATCTTTTGGGACAAACTACATTTTGTGAATAAGACTGAGTAGCAAAATACCAGCTTGGAAATTATGTCTAGAGTTTTGTAATGATTCTGGCAATATTCCGGGTTCACTACAGTCTAAATAACTACAGTTATTTAAATTTTTTAATGAAAAAGACAATAAGAAAAAGTTTCTCCAGTTGGAAAAAATTCCATCCTATTAATTAATTAATCCTATTGAGGAACCTAAGCAACTCCATTTTACTTAAGACCCCCATCTCAGTTCTGCAACTTAACCCTTGACCCACTTCAGCCCCAATGCCTAGAATTATGAGATCTGAAATTCCAGAACAGCCCCTCCTAGGGTTTGGTGACCATTATTTAAACCAGACACCCTGCAGTTTAGCACCTATCCTCTTGAGACTCCCTTGTGGTACAAGCCAACCAGTTTAAAGTATGTCAGCCCCCTTGATCTAACCAACTTGTTTCTGGTCCTTTCCCGCTTTGTAGTGTGCCACTCATATTATAGAGTTGTTTTATGATTTTCCCGCGGTTTGTAGTGATTTGTTACAAGAAGTTATGATGTACACAAAGCCCCTGCCTTCCCTAAAAAAGTGTATAAAAAGTGCCCCTAGGCTCGGGGCCTCTCAGAGTCATGGGCTGCTGCCATGTGCACGGGGGGACCAAGCTTGAGCTTGCAATAAAGACTCCTTTGCTTTTACATTGGTGACGGTCTCTGGTGGTCTTTTGGGTAAGGATTTCCGAATTCGGCTTTACACTATTAATTCATCTAAAATCATAAAATAAAAAATAAGCATTTAAAAGTGTATTCTTCTAAGTGAGATCTCTCATCTTAATAAATTACAAAATAATTTTCATGGATGGTATGGATAAAGGTCACTTCAGATGTTACAATAAATTTCTGTCAGTACTACCTTTAATTCTCTTTGCATCAAGAAAAAAAGATGCAAAATAAAAAAATGAAGTTGGCCCTCTACAACCCATCCTTTCTTTAGATTTCTACAGTGTGCAGCAGATCTAATGTAATGTTCACACACAATAAGGAGTGTTTGCACTCCTCCTAACTATATGATGGGTAAACAACCTCAGACAGTAAAAACAAGGAATGACTGAACATTCTCTGGCATTTGGCCTATTCTTATGTGAGTTATTAGGACTAATGCTCTACAGAATTAATCCTCTCCTGTCACATGATCATCAAAAGCTCTATAAAACAAACAGATTATATTCTGTAAGGGACAGTGAAAGAGCCTCTCCTTGACAGCCCAATTCCCTCAGTTACCTTGCTTCTTCACTTGTTCCAGAAGAAGATCTTTCATGGCTGGCTCTTCTGCAAGGTCAGAGGGGACTTCACCTTCACTATTTACAATTCCCACACTGGCTCCATGGTTAATAAAATACCTGTACAACAAGATCCAGAATCAATATTATCTTTGTCAGTCTAATATCAGTTTTTCCTCATGTATTAAGAGTTCAATGCACATCAAAGCAGGTTTTAGGGGTTTATATATGGTCCCAGACAAGGTGCTTTATTATTATTTTCCAAATCTTAGCTGGGACTCCAGGTTTCTCCACTTCCTGACAAAAGCAATGTCAATACCAGGATAGCTTTTATTTATTTACCTTTATTTTTATTAGAATATATTGCAAAATAGGTTTCATTGTGATATTTCCACACATGCATATAATACATCCTTTACTCATTCTCCAACCCTTGCCTTTTTCAACAATTTTTCAGGGAGAGGCAGAACTGAAGTTTGAACTCAGGACCTCATGCTTACTAGGCAGACATTTGACCACTTGATCCACCAGTGATGTGCATTTGGTCACTTTTTACTATTATTATTTAGTATTTTTGGTGCCAGTCCTAAGGTTTAAATTCAGGGCTTAGGTGCTGTCTCTGAGCTTTTTTGCTCAAGGCTAGAAGCTCTACCACTTAGGCCACAGGTCCACCTCCACACTTGTGTGTATGTGTGTGTGTAATTAATTGGAAATAAGACTCTCAGGATTTCCTACCTGGGCTGGCTTCAAACTGCAATCCTCAGATCTCAGCCTCCTGAGTAAGTAGGATTAAAGCATGAGTACCAGCACCCAGCTTTGCCTTGGTTACTTTTTGAGGTAGGGACTTTCTTGCCTTATGCCAGGGTCAGCCTGGATTGCATCCTTCTCTTGGTGCTTCCCCCAAATTGCTGGAATGACAGATTCATCACCACCATGCTTATCATTGGTCAAAATGGAGTCTCCTCCCACCTTTTTTTTTTATATTGCTTGGGCTAGTCCAACCTTGAACCCCTAATCTCAATCTCCCAAGTAGCTAGGATTACAGGCTTGAGATATCATCATATTCAGCTTTTTAAAAACTTTTAGCTGGCTTTATTATTCCATTTTCATACATGTGTATGAAGTACATATGTACTTATTTGATCATATTCACCTGTCTTTACCCTTCCCTCTTCCTCACACTGCTATCCCTATCTTATATGCCTGTCATTCTTTAAGATCCACATTCTGTCAATGAGGAGAATATTAGATTTTTGTCTTTCTCAGTCTGCCTTATTTCACTTGACATGATGACTTCCAGTTCCTTCCATTTTCCTAGGATTTCTTCTATACTCATAATCCTACCTGCTTCTCACTTCTAGAGGATAGCAAGTGACTTTTTAAATACCATAAGAGAAGGCATGCAGCATTTTAAAAAATTACTCACTATCAGCCAGGTGCCAGTGGCTCACGCCTATAATCCTAGCTTCTCAGAAGACTGAGATCAGAGGATCACAGTTCAAAGCCAACCCAGGCAGGAAAGTCTGTGAGACTCTAATCTCCAATTAACCACCAAAAAAAAAAAAAAGATGGAAGTGTAACAGTAGCTCAAGTGTGGAAGGCAGAGCAACACTCAAGCCTTCAGTTCAAGACTGGTATGAGCCTGCACACATATGTACTTGTATGCGCATACACATGCATGCACACACACACAATCCGCTCCAAATAAGGTTTCCATTCTGTACTTGCAATATTAGGACTGAAAGGCAGCCTCCAGATGCTAATTGAATAGATCATTCTCAAGAAAACTTTTCCAGCCAGGCATTAGTGGCTCATGACTGTAATCCTAGCAACTAAGGAGGCTGAGATCTGAAGATTGCAGTTCAAAGCCACCCTGGGCAAGGAAAGTCCGTGAGACTCTCATCTCCAATAAATCACTCAGAAAACTGGAAGTGGCACTGTGGCTCAAGTGGCAGAGCACTCGCCTTGAGTTGAAGAGCTGAGGGATAGGACCAGGTGCAGAGTTCAAGCCCCACAACGGAAGGAAGAGAGGAAGGAAGGAAGGGAGGGAGGGAGGGAGGGGGAAGTAAAGAGAGAAAGAAAGAGAAAGATGGAAAGAGAGGGAAGGAAGGAAGGAAGGAAGGAAGAAAAGAAGGAAAGAGAGAGAAAGAAAGAAAACTTTTCTAATGTCAAGTTAGTGTTTTAGGTGAGAAAATGGAATAAAGTTGTACACTAAAACTGAACACTACCTCCAGAAAACTCTGCAATAGCTCATCTTTAAAGGAAACTAAATTATTGAGAAGAAAAATTAAAATACTAGATAGATGGATTTTAAATCCACAAAGAATACTCACTCCTGAAAAAGAAAGAGGTACTAATCTAAATACATTATTTTTTCTTCTTTTCAAAGTTCTTTTAATAAAAAATGGCAATATTATGTAGTAGGCAATGTAAGTATGATTACTCTCCTGCTTTAAGAAATTGACAGTCATACATAGTAAGTCCTTTTCTCAAAATTAGACAGCTGACATTTAGCAGAATCTATGGACCCAGTCTTTTGAATTCAATTCTAGTTTCTCTAGGTCAAGCTATTTCTGCACCAATGAGATTCCCAATAATGCTAGAAACTCTATTAAATATTCAGATATATTTAAAGAAAAGCAATAGCCATTTAAATTAAGCTAAATCCAAGTAGCTGAAGCCTATAATCCTAGCTACTTGGGAAGCTGAGAACAGGAGGATTGCATTAAAAGGGTGCAGGTAGAAAAAGCTTGTCAGACTCATTTTCAACCCCCATATGCCTATCATCCCAAATTATGTGGGAGGCTGATTGAGAGGATTGCAATAAATACTGGCCAGCCTGGGAAGGAAAGGCCCAAGACTCCATCTTCACGGTGGATGTGGTAATGCACAGTGGTGATCCCAGCAACAACAGGACACTTAAAAGTAGGCAGTTGCAACTTAGGCACAGTTGGAAAGCCAGACCCTATCCTAAAATAACCAATGAAAAACAGTGCTGAAAGTGGGCCTCAGCAGTGCTGAAATTGGGCCTCAGCAGTATCAAGCCAGCCTTGTAGTCATGAGGTTCTGAGTTCAAAGAAAAACTTCACAAATTCACTTCAGTCCACTCCAGAATGCAATATACATCATTTAACAATTCAATAAACATTTACTTGCTTACTACTATGTCCAAAGAACCACATTTTAGATACTGTAGGAGATAAAGAAAAATTAACATAAGGCAACTGCATTCAAAGAGCTGTCAGAGAAGAAAATATCAATTAAAATTAGATGAAAACCATAATTTTCTTTGCCAGTGGCCAGTGCTTGGTATATTAGAGCTTTAATAAATATTAATACATAGGTGGATTCCACATAAAGTTCAAAGATATGCATAATTCCTCTGATTTTCAACTGTATTCTTCCTTCCCTCATAGCCTTAAAAAGATAGGACATTTAAAATTCCAAAGAAAATTTCCTCTATCTTAACTTTGTTCAGTACCATCATTTTGCCCATCAAATACACCTCTACTTGCTCCATATTCAATAGTTCCTTTCTCTGCTTTTATTTTTGCCTCACGCCAAAGGAACATTCACTATACCTCCCATACCCTGAAATAAATCGAAACACAAATAGTATACATAGTAAACACACAATAAATGTTGGATTGAATTTTATACTCTCACTAAATAGTGAGAATATTGTATACTCTCACTTACTATTTCCAAACATATCTTCTTCTTTCTCAGCTCAGCTCTCCTTTTTAGGAAACCGTGTGTCCTCCTTCTGGAAGATTCTTTTCTTTTCCCTTTCATATCTTTCAAGATTGATTTAAAATGCTTTTGCCATCAAGAACCTGTGCCTGTTCTTCTCACCAACTGAAATTTCTCTCCCTCCTTTAATGTCACCCTCCTACCCCCACCAAACAATAATTCTGAACCTCTAAGTGACATAACTGTACCTTAATACACCTAGTCTATCCCTGAAAGCTACTTAAGGACAACCATGTCTTATTCACTATTATCATCACCACAGTATCTGACATTTTCTCTTTTCTGTTGTCATACCATAAGTTACTTTTCAATTAAATGAAACATCTTGATTACCTTTGCTCTATCATCTATCCATCCCTTTATAGGATTGGGTACAAATGACTCTGCTTCCCCTTTTTCTGATGTGTCCTTTAGTCTATAATCAAAGAGACTTTCAAGAATGTAATCTGGGTCTACCTTTTTTTATTTTCTCCAGTTTGAAAAAAATATATTTATTTAAATTTCTTCGCACGCATATGTGTTTCATATTTTGTCTTTACAAAGGAAAAAGCATCTCTTTAGTTTTATACTTTTTTTTTTTTTTTTTTGCTGGTCCTGGGGCTTGAACTCTGCCCTTTAACTTTTCTGTTTAATGCTAATGCTCTACCACTTGAGCCACAGATCCACTTCTGGCTTTTTGTGGTTAATTTTAAATAAGAGTCTGCCCAGACTTTCCTGCCTAGACTGGCTTTGAAACATGATCCTCAGATCACAGCCTTCTGAGTAGCTGTTATTACAGGCATGAGGCACTGGTGCTGGCTTAATTTTACACTTTTATTTGGCAAGAATAAATGTCAGCCCATGAAGAAGTAGATAAAAGAAGCCTTATAGCTGCCCAAAAGCTCAGAAAAAGCCATTAGTTCAAAATACATGCCCTTCAAAATAAAGCCTTCCTATCCTTACTGATAGCTGATGAATGCTCTTTTTGTCACTATTTTAAGGGAGAAATAAAGGAAAGGAAATGTGTTAAAAATGCAGAATAAACTGGCCTTGGAATAAACTATAAAGACAAATTAGCTATAGGTCAAGCTGCTACTGCTAAGTTAAACACTATAATAAAAATGTAGGATCATCCCAGATAATTATTGTTAAGTCTACACTCAAATTACAATGAGGAAAAATAACTTCTAAGCCTGTCTTTATTTGATGTACCATATTAAGTACAAATATGAGATTAAAAAGATCTTCATGGAACATGAAATAGAAAGCACTCAGATTCTTTCTGAAAAATCAATGTATCTTTTATTCATTTTAACTCCTCTGAAAGTTAGATTTCCTAATGGGCTTAAAAATAACAGTATATTATGGCTTATGATTGTAATCCTAGCTACCCAGGAGGCTGAGATACATAGAATCTGGGTTCAAAGCCAACCTTGGCCAAAAAAATAAAAAATTAAAAGGCCTCTGAGACTTTATATCCAAAATAACCAGCAGAAAGCTGGTTCAAGAGGTAGAACACCAGCCTGGCAAGTATCAGGCTGGGGATAGGGAGGGGGTTGGGGGGAAGGAATGAGGACAAGTATAAGGTCTTTAAGACACAAAATTGAAGCCAGACAAGGTAGCATAGATTTGTAATACTAGCACTTAGGAGGCTAGGGCAGTAGGATCCAGTGTTTAAGGCCTGCCTAGGCTAAACAACAAGGTCCTGTCCCAAACACAAAGCAAAACAGAGATACAAAGGAAAATAGTCACCAAGAGCTGATCTTATTTAAAACATTCTTTACCGTTCCTAAGGCAAACTGTATGTATATTGTTTTAAAAAATCATGTTATTTTCCTTTGTATAAAAAGGAATGCTCCACATTCCAAATAAATAATGACAGTAAAATAAAAACTTCTATAATAATAATATTATACATAATGAAAGATAATATGAAACAAGCTATCCTACCACCATACCACTTCTGCAATGGATTCTGGTCTAGATCACCTCATTCATAGTTAATACAATTTCTAATAATTGATATGAGGAAACAGTAACTAGTAGAATTAATTTCAGGTAATATTTGGATGAGCAGAAGATTACTGAATTTTTAACTTATTTTTAGAAGAAACCTCAGTTTCAAAAAAAGCATTACAATAATTCTCTATACTTGGCTTCATGAAAGGATAATAACACAAATGTATCCTCAGTCTAAGTGTGAGTTCTCCTTAGAGAAGTAGAACAAAAAAGTAAAACATTTGGAGAAAAAAAGTCAATAACTTATAGCCCAAATATCACATATGTGCCACCTGAACAAGTAGACAAAGACCAATAATGAGGAGTTAACATGTCCTAAACTTCTCTGATAAATACCTTAAGTACAATCAAAGTGGTCAATTAATTAATTAATTCTTGGACATTAAAGCATTGGCAATTAGTAAGGCTATAAGAACCAGAGCCTTTCCTATGATACTCTGAAAGGGGGCAGCCTAGGAAATGAACAGGTGATTGACTTGCTAATTTAGATCATAGACAGGAATGAAAAGAAACTGCACTATTCAATTATCTTGGCTTTGGAATCAATATAATGATATACTTTCTCTTAAACCAGCAGCCAGTCAAACACTAGTACTGATGTCTAATGTTCTGTAGACTCTGATGCTCCCTATGTTTAAGTTTTCCTGATGAGCATAGCATCATTGGCCCAGAAGAGCAAACCCAGTAATGTAGGCTCTGCTTCAGGAAACCTCGGCAAATCAAATTCTGAGACCTCTACATGGCCACTAACATAAATCTGCCTGCTTTTTGCTGAATAGAGAAACATTATAGCCCTCTAATCATATTATTGAAAAGGGCTTAAAACAACCACTCTGATTTTCAAAGAGCAATAGAATATCATTTCATTTAGGAAATTTACCTTTTCAATCCAAATATGCCCTGCTTTATTCTAAAAATAGTACAACTGCCAAAATCTTTTTCCTATTTAAAAGCACTCTCCCTGTTCATTCAGACATTGATATAGTACCTTTTATGTCTCAGACTATGTGATCATGATTCTTCTGCTCAAAGGAAGGTAATCTACTGCCATAGAGGTTAGAAGCTATTAATATATCTTATTAATCAGGCTCATTCAACATATGCCAATCCCAACCTTGGCTTCACGAAAGGATAATAACACAAATGTATCCTAAGTCTAAGTGTGAGTTCTCCTTAGTACACTGATTTTTGAAAAAACAGGTTTACAAAGAAGACCAGAAAAAAAAAATCTCTTGGCCTGCCTACTTATGTATGTTGTCATAGCTATTCAGAAGTAACCCAGATAGTGCATCAGCAGTCTGGTGATCCATCTATCCCAGCAAATATAAATTATATGAAAACAGAAGTAAACAACAAGTTTCAACCAAAATAATCATTGATTTGGTAGCTCTATAAAACATAGTATCAGTTATTCCTTAAAAACAATTTCCTGCTTTTGTAATTTGTAATAGAAATTATAACTATTTATGAAATTCAAGTTCTTACAAGCAGAGGAGAAATTAAGGTGATTCCTATCAAATCCATACAGAAGGTCACTTACTCTGCTATATTGAGATAGCCACAGGAAGCAGCTGCATGAAGGGGTGTCCAACCCTCATTGTCTTGCTGGTTTACATTGGCTCTGTTTTCCACCAGAAACCTCACCATGTCCAAATTTTCATCAATACAAGCCTGAAAAGAAAAATCCACTTATTCATTCAACAGAGATGTACTGAACGCTACTATGTGACAGACACTGCTCTAGACATTGACAATGCCCAGCAGTTCTAATGATACATTGTTTTTTCTTTCATACTAATGTCCATAGGATGACTCTAAACTCAGATGTACTACAGAACCATTATTTTTAGTACTAAAATATCAATAGGATTAATTATGAAAGTGCTATAAATAGGTAAGCTATTTAATCATTATACTATAAAAACAAGAGTACATTAGAAAGGTGATGACCATTTGCTTATAAATTTTATTTTTTAACTTTTTATCTTTAAGTGGTTGTACCAAGGGGTTTCAATTAAACAAATCAGTTAACAAGCACAATGCATTCTGGTCAATGTCACTTGTTCCATTGTTCTCCCCCATCTTTCCCAACCCCAGCCCTACACCCTTGCTAATGAATTTTAAATGAAAAATAACATAGGCTCAATCACATGAAATTTCCTCAGTAGGAAGTTAAAGTGTAAAACTCTAGGATTGCTAAAAAAAAAAAACAACAACCCTCTAGTAAAACAGGTAAGGAGATCATTTCAAATGGAAAAAAATTGTATTTTCTTAATAGCTTCAGACAACATTGGAAAGAATGTTTGTAGTTAAGGGTGTTTAAAATCCTTATCTGTCCATCTTATGCTTTCAATTAGGGGAGAACACAGAAGCATTCTGAAAAAAGGCCTTATAAGCCTAAAGGGAACAGTCATAACAGCTATGATATCTGTAAAAGTCAAAATGGTATTGTAGCAGAATAAAGAGAAGACAAAAGGCCCATGGTTGAAAAGGTATTATCCAGAGAAGCAAATGAGACCATCACATTTTAAAAACATACTTATGAATCACCTTGTTAGTATGAATAATTAATTAAAATTAAAATTGTAGCTAAGTATTCCTTAACCCAAGAAAAACAATGTTCACAATAATCTTAAGAAGTTATTTGCTTTCTGTGGTGTGATATTACATTAAAGGTGGGCAAATTTGGTGGGATGTTAGCATGGATCAAGATAACCACATCAAAAAAAAGGGGGGGGTGGGAAGTGGGGAAGACTAGGTGGGGGGGCAGAGGGAGGATGGGAAGGGATGGGAAGGGGAAACAAAGGAGGAGGCTACAATGCTTGATAAGAAATGAACTCATTATCTTGCCCATGTAATTGTAACCCCTCTGTAAACTATTTTCACAATAAAAAATTTAAAAAAAAAGCCAAACTCCTAGCTGGGCATAGTGGTTCATGCCTTCAGTGTAGTTACTTGGGAGACCGAAATTGGGAAGATCTCAAGGCTAGTTCAGGGGGGAAAAAGTTTGTGAGCACAAATTGATGGTTCAAGCCTATAATCTGAGCTACTGTGGAGGGGAGGTGAAGGGTAAGGATAGCAGTTCAAGGATAGACTATAAAAGTTCATGAGGCTGGCCATCAATGGCTCACACCTGTAATCCTAATTACTCAGGAGGTTGACTGAGATCTGAGGATCCTAGTTTGAAGCCAGACTGATCAGAAAAGTCTGAGAGACTCTTATCTCCAATTAACCAGCAAAAAGCCAGAAGTTATGGTACGCTTCAAGTAGTAGAACCACAGCCTTGAGTGAAAATGCTAAGAGAGATCTGAGGCACTGTGTTTAAGCCTAATACTAGCATCAAAAAAAGTTCATAAGACTCCATCTCAACCAGTGGGTGTGGAGGTAGGCACCTGTCATCCCAGGGCCAAAGGGGAGTACAAATAGGAAGATTGTAGTCCAGGCTAGCCCAGGCATAAGTGACACCCTATTTCAAGAATAATAAATGCAGGGCTGGGATGTAGCTCAGTGGCAAAGCGCTTGCCTAGCAAGCGCAACGTCCTGGGTTCGATCCCCGGTACCAAAAAAGAAAAGACAAAAAAAAATACAGTTTAAAAAAAAAAGAATAATAAATGCAGTGGTACTCACTAGACACTATGTTGAAAATGAACTTTATAACTTGTGGGTAGGGATTGGAAGGAAAAACTAAGAGAGAGTGAGGGAAGGGGTGACATTGTCCAAAAAGAAATGTAGTCATTACCTGACTTGTTTAACTGTAACTCCTTTGTACATCACTTTTACAGTAACAATTTAAAAAATTAAAATATCAAATGCAAAAAGAGAATGGCAGAGAGGCTCAAGTGATAGAACACCTCTTAGCCAAGTGCAAGGACCCTAGTATGGCCAAAAGACAGAGACAGAGACAGAGATACAAAGAGAAGACCAACTATACTTGCAAGTGGAGAAAATGACTACTTTTATTAACTCTTAAGTCCTTGAATATGGTTTTTCAATATTCTGGGTAACAAAATAGGAACTACATATGAAGCACAACTGCTGTATTAGCAATGTGATGGCTGTTTCCAGGGAGAAGCACTTGTGCAGTCAATTGAATTGCAAGATGAACTGCTACCTTTTACTCAAAAGAACAACTTATGGCTATTCTGTCTTAAAAATGAACAAAGTGAGCTTGTCACCTTAAGGGAAATAACAAATAGTATTTGTTATCAATGATAAAGTTTGACCATGTAAAGGAAAACTAGAATTTGGGTAAACAGATACCACACACATACACAACCAGATTCTTTATATATTTTAACAAAATATCACATCAGACAGAATAAAGACATTAAATAAGATTTGTAAAAATGTAATATATATATATATATACATACATGCATACACACACACACACACACAAGTGTGTGTGTGACGTGTGTGTGTGTGTGTGTGTGTGTGTGTGTGTGTGTATTGGTCATGAACTCAGGGCTTGGGCACTGTGCCTAAGCTTTTCTGTTCAAGGCTAGCACTCAACCACTTTGAGCCACAGTACCATTTTTGGTTTTCTTGTGGTTAACTGGAGATAAGAGAGTTGTGGACTTCCCTGCCTGAGTTGGCTCTGAAATGTGATCCTCAGATCTCAGACTGCTGAGTAGATAGGATTACAAGGTGTGAGCCACCAGCACCCTGCTCACCTTGCTTTTTTATCCAGACTCTCCTGTCCATGGGGAAAATCTGCTACCCTTCTCCAAGCCTTGGGTATTAGATATGCAGAAAGTCCTTCACTGGGGGCAGGATTTTGTCTGGCTGGGTAAAAGGGAGAGAGATGTGGGGACAGAAAGGCAGGATGGGGAGTGAAGGGAGGAGGGTGCCACTAAGCATGGATTAATGTCAGAGCTCAGAGAAAGCTTCTGGAAACAGAACAGCAGGAGACGATGACCAGATGTTTAAACAGTAAAAGATTACTACAAAAAAAAAAAAAAGATTCTACAGAAGGAATTCAGGCTGAAACTCAAGAGGAGGAGAATTGTAACTATAGGACCTACAGAGTATACATCTATCAAGAGAACTTATGAGATCTCCCTCCAGAGACAAACTTCATAACAATGCAGCCTAGAAGCAAGGGGTGCAAGATTCAATTTAAGTGTAATCTAATTCCCTATCTCTGGTTACACAAAGCATCATTGTTAATTTTTCACAAACCATTTGATATTCTTTTTCTTTTACAATTACTGAGATTAGTTAAGCATATCAACCTTGACTTAATTTGATGTAATATATTTCTCCAATAGGACCTTCTGAGGCCAGATGACTCATAGCCATATATATATATATTTTTTTTTTTTTTGTCGGTCGTGGGGCTTGAACTCTGGGCCTGGACGCTGTCCCTCAGCTCTTCAGCTCAAGGTGAGCGCTCTACCACTTGAACTACAGCACCACTTCCGGTTTTCTGGTGGTTTATTGGAGATAGGAATCTCATGGTCTCTCCTGCCCGGGCTGGCTTTGAACTGTGATCCTCAGACCTCAGCCTCCTGAGTAGCTAGGATTACAGGCATGAGCCACCAGCGCCCGGCTCATAGCCATATTTTTAAGTCACTTTTCCAACAAGTAGCTCCAGAAATCAATTTCTTCTATAATATTTTCTTAGGCTTATTGGCTTCCACAAGCATTTCTGTTACATAATATATTGTCACATAAAATATTTCATAATTATACTTATAATTGGTCTGTAATTCCAATGGCAAGATCTGGCCAATTCATTGCATAGTTACTTCAGTGAAAAAATTGGGCAGGGAGTAGGGGAGAATGCTAGTCCTGAGGCTTGAACTCAGGGTCTGGACACTGTCCCTGAGCTTTTCTGTGCTCTGCTACTTGAATAATACCTCCACTTCCAGCTTTTTGGCAATTAATTGGGGATAAGAGTGTTATAGACTTTCCTGACTGGACTAGTTTGAACTGTGATCCTCAGAGCTCAACATTCTGAGTAACCAAGATTACTGGCGTGAACCACCAGCAATAAAAACTTTCATATGGAAGTGGAAGTGTAGCTCAAGTGGCACAGGGCTAGGTCAGCCTTGAGCAAAAGAGCCAAACAGAATGCAAGGCCTTGAGCTCAAATCCCTAGTAAGGGTATGCACATGTACACAGACAAACACATACACACACAAACACACACACACACACACACACACACACACACACACACACACACACACACACACACACACACACACACACACACAAACCTTATAAGTGAATA